AAAAATAAACATGCAACTTTCTATGAATTGTGGTTAAACTTTCATTTTAATATTCTAAATGATGGACAAAGTCAAAGTAAGCACTTTAATTTAAACTAAAGCAAAACTTTGGGGCCTGGTGCCACAGGCCTATAATCACATACACAGAAAGCTGAGGCAGGAGGATCACAAGTTCAAGGTCTGCCTGGGCTATAAAGAAAACTCAAAGTCATCCTGTCTCAAGAACAAAAAGAAAAGGGCGGTATATACACAGCTCAGTGGTAGAACACTTACCCAGCATGTATAAGGCCCTAGATTCAATCCCTATTATTGTAAATTAAATCAATTTTAATAACTAAAATTTTTTGATAACTAGAATTTTTAATGAGATTATTTTAAAACATCAATATATTTCACGTAAATGCTTTGCAAGCAATCATGGAAGTACATGCTTGTCATTAATCCCATCTCTCGGGAGGCAGAGGCAAGACTCTGAGTTCAAGGCCAACCTGGGCTACATAGATTTCCAGGCCAACCTAAGCATGCAAAACGTAAGAAAATAGCCAAGTCACTATGAAGTGCTTCAGTTCTCACTTACACTTCTAAACTAAAAGACACTTTAAAATTATCTATATAAAGAAATATATAATAAAGCTAAGAAACACGATTCTCCAATTATATTATTAAGCACTTCTTAAATACAATCATTTTTAAAAAATGTTTTAGAATTCATTTGGTAATTACAAACCCAACAGCTAAAAAGGATGAATGTCAGATCTCTTATTGTGAGAAGTAATAAAGTTTTCCATGTTTATGGGGGGAAAAAAGTTTTCTCTTTTGCCGGGCGGTGGTTTAGTCCCAGCACTGGAGAGGCAGAGGCAGACAGATCTCTCTGAGTTCAAGGCCAGCCTGGTCTACAAATCAAGTTCCTGGACAGCCAGGGCCACACAGAGAAACCCTGTCTTGAAAAAAACAAAAAACAAAACAAACAAAACAAACGAACGAAAGAAAGAAACAAAGAAAGAAAGAAAGAAAGAAAGAAAGAAAGAAAGAAAGAAAGAAAGAAAGAAAGAAAGGAGGTTGGCCTTCTGTTTACATGAGTTCCACATCATATCAAAATCATTTGGTAGGAAACAAGTTGTATCTGAACCACACACATTTTTTTCTTCATTATTCCCTGAACAACTACAACTGTTTACACAGCATTTACATCATAGCAGGTTTAAGTAATGTGGAGACACTGTAAGATGTACAGGAAGATGTGTAGGTTGTGTGCAAACGCTGCACTTTATACAAAGGACTTGAACAGCTGTAGATTCGGGTGGGGAGATGGCTGTGTCTAAAAATTTAAGGGTTGTGCTCTTCTATCTTGATTACAAACAGCCATTAGAAGCCTGAAATTAAATGGAAAATCATGCTTATTTTTCAAGTTTAAAGACCCTTCATACTAGGAACATTAGTAAACACTTTTATGCACTAATACCTATAAGACAAAAAAACTTGAATAAACATACAATGTAGTATGAATTAACTCATAATGTATGCACAATAATCACTTCCTAATATGGAAAGATACTGCCAAGGAAGTACACAAAAGCCACCTCCACGTGCTAAAGGATTTATAGGGATGGCAAATTACTAGGCATATTTTTGTTAAATGCTACCATTTTAAAAATGAAATTGCTTCCACTCAGTTCAAAGAAGCAGACATTAGTAGTTGAGGATATTAAGAAGCCTAAGAGAACTAAGCTTTCAAAATTAAGAAAAGTTTTTTAAAGGGGTAAAAATTACTTAAAATGATGCATTTCTTTATTATATATTATACAGCCTGAAGTTCATGGCATTGACACTAAAGTCTGTGGATAACTTTTCAAAGCAGGTTGAAGTGGAAAGGGAGGGTTGTAAACCAATCATTAGAGAGATTTTACTAAAATATTAGTGAGAAACAGTTTTACAATTAAGGGAAAAAAGTGTCATGTTTTAAGGCCCCATTAAGAAGACAAAGAGGCACCTTATTATTAATACACTAGTATTAAAACGTTAGTAAGTATATTCAAGCTCTAAAAGTATGGGAGTTTGTAAACACAGTTGTAGTAGAGAAAAAGTACAGATGTAAGGTTATCCTTAAAGACCAACTAGTTCAAATCTCTAGTAGTGACTATTACAAAAGGTCACTAACTTGATAAAACCACAACCTTTACTTCTGACTTCTACCCATTCTAGCAACACTTTAGAATCATTGCTGCAACTGAAGATGCAACCTGTATAAAGAATGTTTCAATGCTGTATCTGTTGTTATAATTGATCTTTTGAGTTAAAGAAAAACATTTCACATATGCCCAAGTATCTTCTGCCCTCTCCACACCAAAAAACAAAAACAAATGAAAAACCACAAACATAGCATTAAAACAAACAGTAGGATTTTGCATCACAGAACCCAGTATTTCGGCATAGGCCAGGAGGGCTGAGGCAGAAGGATGGTCTCAAGTTCAAGGCCAGCTTGGGCTACACAGCCAATTTTGAGACAAGCCTGGAGCTGGAAGGAGGGAGGAGAAATGATTCTGTGGGTAGTCTTTCCAAAGAATGTAAACAGAAACGTCTACTCCAATTATTATATATTTTCAAAACCCATTTATGATTTATTCACACTGTCCTAAAGAATGTTTACAGATGTGTCACCATTTTAAATCCACTCTCTCAACAGGGAAAGACAGTTGAACAGCAGCCTATATGAGGACCACAGCCAACCAAGATGAAGAGTTGTATAAACACTTTTTCACAGCTAGGGAACAAATCACAATGAATAATAGGTCTGTCTGTGGCAATAACTTGTTCTAACAGCACTTCATGAGCAATGTATCTTAGAAGAATTCACACGCTGTGTGTGTGTGTGTGTGTGTGTGTGTGTGTGTGTGTGTGTGAAGTACAAACCTCACAGCCAAAGTCCAAATGAGAAACAAGATTCCTTACAGTGAATTCCCTTTCAGGACAAGCTCACTCTTGCTTCACAGGGCAAAGCAACTTTCATGTATGATGAAAGTCAGTTCAGCTAATGTGTCCGGGAGTCATTTAAAAAGAGAATTTACTATCGTTGACTATATCCCTATTTTTTTTTTCCTGAAACGTTCCACTGACTCAAAGATAGAGTGATCCACTGAGCTTTGTATCCTGAGGCAAAGGAGCAACAAGAAAAAGGAGGTGGTTTTACAGGTGGCTCCCGGGTTAGAAAACAATTGGGAGGAGTTTGTGCTATTAACTGTACCTAAATTAGTGCTGGAGTAATACTATACTTAAGCAATCGTAGTTATCAAAAATACAACCAGCATGAATTAAAATGTTTCCCCATTTGATTATTTGTACCTAAATTTATTAATCCATTTCTAATCCCAACACTTCACACTCAAGCTTCCAAATTCAAACCGCCAATGTTAACAGTTCCAGGAACCGATACCCAAACCAGTAAAGCCCTTTTCCATATCCCCATATGAATTAAAAAAGGGAAAGGTCGGACATGTACAACTCACCCAACTTTAAAACTCAAGATAGTATAGTGATGGCGAATAAAAAGAGTAACTTCCCACAAAGCTTTCCCCACACCACCCCGAATCCCTTTGTTTCTACTCCCCGCAAATATAAATGGAATAAAAGCCGAGTACCTGGGTAAAATATTGAAGGAAGGAGGTGACATAAAGTCAAAGGAACTTAATGGAAGCTACAGAGGCAAAGATAACCCAAAGGGGAGACAGAAAAGTAGGAAAAGAAACCCAAAAGGAATGGGAGGAAAATCTAGGAAGGATGTGGGAACCACTTTAAGGGCTGCGAAGTGACAGGAATCTGGGCCCACCAAGCCGATTTAGTACGGAAACGCGAAAAAAAGCTAACGGGGGAACAATGGGGCGGTGAGTCCCGGAGCTAGCAGGGAGACACTGAGCCGAGGGCGGCGAGGAGGTACGGGACGGGTGGGAAGGAAGGGCAAAAGCTGCAGTAGCTGGGAAAGGAGTTCGGGTGAGGAACTGGGTGGGAGGCAAGTTGGTGGGAGCGCGATGGGGCATGGTGGTGCCTGGAGCCAGGAGGAGAGGGTCTCGGGGGATCTCCGGGGGAGAAAATGGCTTGTCACATTGCTTTCTCTTTTGAGAGGAGAGCTGAGGCCGTTAAAGGCAGGTGTGATGGAAGCAGAAAAGAACACAGCCCGACGAGGCATAGGAGCCACGGTGCAGATAAGACGCAGGGAGGGAAAAGGCAGCTCCAGAGGGAGAGGAAGAAGATGGAGGGGGGGGGGGGCAGGAGGGGGAGCGGGGGGCTTCACTCACAGTCCAGGTGCTTTTTCTTGGGGCCCATGATCTCGTGGGTCGTGGCCTTGCATACTGTCTTGGAGACCGCCGAGCCAGTGACACTGTGCTGGGCCGCGGTGATTCGGTCCGTCAGGCTCTGGCCAGACATCTCTGCGGCTCGTCCGCCACCCCTTCCGCTCGGCAGCCGGCGGGGCCTGGGACCCGCAAGCGCCCGAGGGTCCCCACCCCCCACCGCACCCCCTACCCCCACCGGCTCCCGGCCCGCCTGCCGGCCTGGGGCGGGGCTCAGGGCCGCGCGCCGCCACCCGCCCGGAGAGCCCCGGCTCGCGTGCCCCCCGCGGGCTCCCACACCCAGTCGGGGCACTCCCGGGCCCCGCGCCGCAGCCTCGGCCCACCCCTGCCCTGGTCAGCTGGAACCCGGTCGGGCAAGAGGGACAGGCAGCTGCAGGAAAATGGCGGCGCCAGGCTCCTCCTCGGAGCTTTCCGGGCGGCCCCTGCGTCACGTGACTCGGGTCCCGCCCCCTGCTCCCTTCCTCCCGCCCCTTTTCCCGTCCCTTTCCTCGCCGGCGCGCCCCCCTCCCTCGCTCCGGCGGCGAGGGAAGAGCGGGGCGGCGCCCGCGCGCTACGTGGTGGAACCCGCCCGGCGGGCGCAACAGGAGGCCCGCCCGCGGGGGGACAGCGCGGCCCGCCGCGTCACGTGATGCGCCCTGCCAACAGGTCGCCCCAGGCAGGGCCCGCGTGTCATAGGGGCGGGGGGGGAGGGGCGGCCCGCTGCGCCCCTCTTTCGGTGCAAGGCGAGGACGTCCTCGTGGCTGAGGCGGAGGCGGTCGGCTTGACAAAGAGGTGAGGCAGCGGCCTGTGCGCAGCTTCTCCCCGAGATGGAGGTGTCTGGGCCCCGGGGCTTCTCCCTCGCTCCATCTGGCGACGACCCCGTGGCCCTCCTCCCGCCTTAAAGGAAAAGGCCCCAGCCAGGCTCTTTTTCTGAGCCTACAAGCAGGCCTCTTGGCTGTGGAACTATTCAAAGACACATACACACCGTTTTCTGTTTTGTTTTGTTTTGTTTTGTTTTAAAGTCGGAAAGGTCTTCTTGCACCCCCTCGTTTTCCTTGAGTGTTGGAAATGTCACCTAGTTTTGTTTATCTCGACTACTAAAACTCGCCACGTTCCTGCCAGGCTAAATTTAGATATAAAGCAGCAGCCCGGTATTCGTTTTCTACGGTGTCAAATACGACAGGAAACACATAGCTTCAGTGGAATTTGAAAAGGGAAGTAGTAGGATGATGTCAACAGTGATTAACTTGACCCTACAAGGCTGACAACTAGGGAGATTAAAGGTCCACACCATAGAAGGAAGTGAGACCGGTCGGTAAATGGAGAAGTCTCATTCAGAGAGTCAGACATCAGTACCTGCGATCTCCCCTGGTTTAGTCTTTCTTCCCTTTGGCCTCTTTTCTCCTCTTGTGTGAGCCAGATTTCCATGGAAAGATATTGACGCTGCCCGGTAGGCATTTTAGAACAGTATTACATCCTGAGACTCCGATCTATGAAATCCAGAAGATCTATTAACAAAGCCTTTTAAAATGTTATTAATGCTCTACATTTAACTCAGGGTTAGGGATAAATTTTAAATTCTCTGTGAATGTTAAGTCACCATCATGGTTATATGTAATCTTGCTAGTTTCAAATGAAATGCTAGCGTACTCAAAATCCGTGTACACCATCTGCCAACAAATCTAGAATACTGTGCTTAAATCTGTTGACTCTCAAAAGATGAAAAACTAATAGATGTTTAAAATTGTATGTGTGGTAATCAGGAATTCCGTGGTCTCTTTCCATTCCCTTTTTATTACACACACACACACACACACACACACACACACACACACACTGTGGCCGGTTGAAATTCTGAAGCCACCAATGCTTTTGCAGAGAACTCAGAGTTCTTAAGCCTGCAGGTTTCACTCTCGGCAAACCAGCTTGAAATTCCACAAAACTGTAGAACTCCCTTTGGTGCATCTGCAGTCCATCTGTAGTTTGGTGCCCCATGTTTGTCAGGCAGTCGGATGACCAGATTCTTTTTTTTCATTTGCATACGGTATGCATGCATTCGTGCATGTTCCCATGTTGATGCACGTATGTGTGCGAGTGTAAGTTTTAATCCATTATAATCCCTTTTATTCTCAAACTGTTCTAGTAATTTCTTAGCTAATTTCTCCATCGTTTAACCCTCCATTCGACAGTTTCTGAATCTATAATGGGATTGTTTGTCTTTGCACTAAAATTGTCTAGAAATTCTGTGTAGATTGTGTCTCCAAAATGTGCCCGCTCATCCCTCTACCCCCACACCACCAATAAATGTGTTGGGACTTAATCTTCAACAGTGTTAAGAGGTGTGGTCTAATGGGAGGTGTTTAGATCATAAATGGATTAATGCTAATTATAAAAGGCCTTGAAGTTCCATCTCCCCCCTCTCTCCCACTTTCTCTTTACCTTGTTCCCTAGAATAATCAGGCTCTTGATTTTGGACCTCCTAGCTTCCAGAACTAATCAATGTATGTTTATTAAACATTACCCAGTCTTGCCAGGCAGTGGTGGTACATGCCCTTAGTCCCAGCACTCAGGAGGCAGAGGCAGGTGGATCTTTGTGAGCTGAAGACCAGCCTGGTCTACAGAGTCAGTTCCAGGATAGCCAGGGCTACACAGAGAAACCCTGTCTTGGGGGAAAAAAATTACCCAGTCTGTAGTATTCTGTTATAGCAACAAAAAGTAAAACAAACACACTGTCATTATCCTAGAAGATAAGAATTGGGTCTCTGAGCCATGGGAACAAGACTCTTTATGATCTACCCCTGACCTAACTACTTATTGAGCCTCATCTGTTTCCATTCTCCTACATGTATGCTGCCTACTACACTTAGGAATACTATTTTGCTCTCCAGCCTAATGGGCAAGAATCTCCTTTTGCTACTGGCAGTATTCTGTACTTAGTTCCTTAATTACTGTATTGCACTAACATGGGGAGGGGTAAGAGAGAGACTTATGGTTTGAATCTGGACTGTTCCCTACAGGATCGTGCATTTTATTTAAATACCTGGTCCTGGGGCTGGAGAAGGGGCTCAGTGTTAAGATCACTTTCTATTCTTGAAGAGAACCTGAGTTCAGTTCCCAGCAGCCATGTTGGTTGAATCAAAGCCATCTCAAACTCCAGCTCCAGGGGAATCCAATGCCCTCTTCTGGCCTCTGTAGACACGTGCATATACACACAGAGAGTTCACAGAGGCCTATAAATAATTTTTTAAATAATAAAAATTTCAAAATAAACACCTGCTCCCCAACTGGTAGCACTGTTCGGGAAGTTGTAGGACCTATTTGATGGAGGTAGCCTAGAAGGTAGGCCTTTGAGGGTTATAGCCTGACCTACTACTTCTGGTCCTGTTATTTAGTTTCTGGTTGATCTTTCATGTTAGGAGCTCTGCCACATCTTCCCACTACCACAGTACCACTCCACATATTTTCCCACCACTAATGGATGGGTGAAATCCCTTGAAACCAGGAACAACAATCCTTTCTTGAGTAGCTTTGGTCAGGTATTTTGTCATAGTGATGAGAAAAGTGACTGGTACATATCTTCAAGCCACTGTTAACAGCTGGTGCGATCAGACTTAGAGCATAATGATGACTGGATAGATGGACAAATGAAAACACAACTTAATTAGATAGACTATCACTGCAAATCTTTCATTTGATAAAATCTGCCCACTTTTTCACAAATATATCATGTCCATCCTATAATTATCTGTCTGAGGCATCATCCTTACTCAGTATTTTGTTAATTCACTCTTTCAAAAAGTATGTACTGAACATTTACTGTGTGTCAGGCACCAATTTAGATGCTATTTTCTGTTCTAACGCTGAACCCATCAGCTCTATGGGAACTAATCAATTCTCTATTTCAGTCACCAACTTGAAGGCATGTTCTCTTTACAAATGAGCAGTCCCCAAACAGAAGGAAACAATGTGAATAGCATATGTTAGTTCCTAAACTGTCTTAACTAAAAAATTATGTTGGAGAAAGTCCTGGGGTCCAGGAGGAAAGATAGACAGGTTTTTTTTTTTAATGCCTTGTATGTACTATAAATACAGCAAGACTATTTCGTGTAATTCTCCTTACAATAATTGCAAAAAGTATTGTATTTATCTAATACAGAAATACAAACAAGCTCAATAAATTTACTTTCCTAAATCCTACAGATTCTAAGTGGTAGAAATAAGATTTAGGTATTCATTTTCTATTACAGTATACAGACCATTTAGCTGCTGTGGGATGGTCTGTATGTGCTCTGATTGGTCAATAAATAAAACACTGATTGGCCAGTGGCCAGGCAGGAAGTATAGGCAGGACTAACAGAGAGGAGAATTAAGAGAACAGGAAGGCGGAGGGAGACACTGCCAGCCGCGCCATGACAAGCAGCATGTGAAGATGCCGGTAAGCCACAAGCCACGTGGCAAGGTATAGATTTATAGAAATGGATTAATTTAAGATATAAGAACAGTTAGCAAGAAGCCTGCCACGGCCATACAGTTTGTAAGCAATGTTAAGTCTCTGTGTTTACTTGGTTGGATCTGAGCGGCTGTGGGTCTGGCGGGTGACAGATTTGTCCTAACTGTGGGCCAGGCAGGAAAACTCTAGCTACATTTAGCCAATAATTGAAGAAACTGACAATATAGATTAAATTCATTCAACAAATAGATGTTGTCTATAAACAGTATGCTAGGTCTTGTTGAATGTTATAATGTACAGACAAGCATGGTCTCTGTTCTTAGTTAGACTTTAACAGAATAGGGTTTGTATTTGTAGGTTTTAGTGTTCTGTTAATTTATTTTGAGATGGTCTCTTATTCGGTAGCCCAAAATGGTCTTCAATTTATATTCTAGCCCAGGCTGGTCACAAATTCCTGTTCCTCTGGCCTCAGCTTTCTGAGTGCTGAGATTATAGGCATGTACCACCAGTCCTGGCCTGTTCTAAAACCTTTAAAAATCTTGAAGTAGAAAGAGAGGAGAAAATAAGTAGGAATTAAAATGTATGGCTAACCTGAAGATCCTGATAAGTATATGACTTAAAAGTAAGAAAGTGAGCCTGACATGGTGGCACACACCTATAACTCCAGAACTTGGGAATTAAAGAGTTGGAGGCCAGTAATACCTACATAATGAACCCCTGTCTCGAAAAGAAAAGAACATGGAAAAGAGTGACCAGAATTTGTATAGTTATTACTTCATTTAAACCTATCTTGAGGTCCATAGAGAGCCTACTCCTCTGTTCTCACTGTTCTCAGACCTTACTGTTGTTTTCTAAATTAGACCCCTTTGACATTGTGTTAACTAAGTTTATATGAACATCCAGCAACTCCTTTCTCCCTTATCTTTAGCTACTTACTTCTCTACTTAATGACGAAACCAAATGAGTAAAAGATGGCCTTATGTAACCCACCTTTCTTTGTAACAGAGAACTCAAGCAAATACTCTGCTTCAGCCGAAGGAGACCAATTCAAGCGCTCAGCGTACATACTTGTGATAATATTAACATGCAAGTGCTGATTACTTTTTCTGTGCCAAGCATGTAACATGCATTACCTCCTTCGTTCTGAAACAGCTTCATGACTTCAAGGAGTACAAACATCTGATGACCAAATGGTTTCTTTCTTCCATTAAGCACACAGACTGTTTCCTGGCCACCTTTATGATTAGCTGGGGCCAAATACCTGATGTCTGTCCAAGAGAACATGGACTGAAAATGATGATGGTTTGGGCAATGAGCCCTGAAAACCTCTAACATATGTTTA